CCTAGGCCCCCGCACACCGCGGCGGGAGCGGAAGTCCCGCTGGCACCGCCTCCCTTCTTCTTCTTCTTCCTCTTCTTCCCGATACCCTCTGCGGGTCCGCGAGAAGAGGCTGGCCCTCCCGATTTACTTCCCGAGATTAACCCGAGGCGCCTCAAATTCTGCTCTATCTTCTGGTCCAGCAGCCGTCCCAAGTCTTCGACGCTACCGAGACCGCCTTGGGACCGGGCAGCGGCCGACTTCTTTTCCCTCTTCTTACAAGGGAACACAACGTGTTGGATCTCACCGTTTTAAATGAGCTTTTAGTATGTTGTTCTATAGACAAAAATAAAAGACACGTATTTTTTTATACGTGCGGAGTCGCATGTTAAGGGGGTGAAATCCTCCCTTGAAGAAAATCGGTTTTTTCTTTCGAAGCGAATATCTTTGAAACTATAAGAGATAGAAAAAAATTTCTAGAATAAAAATTGAATAGTTGCAAGAGTACTTTACAACTATAATAAAAAAATTTTTTCTACATTTATTTATTGTACACCCCCACCCTCCACTCTAATTTTCAAAAATTTTTTAATTCTTTATATGACGAAAATTAAAGAGAATTTTACGCTGAAAACAACGATGTGTATTTAAATCACGTTCCGAAAATCCATTTTTTAGATATGAACGAAAACGTCTCTTTATATGCGCTCCATACGTATTCGTACCGCGTTGGGAGCACAAGATACTATTCAATGAATACAGTCCAGTATGCATTATTATCGTACTAGCTATTATTATAAGAGTTTTTTACAATAATGTTATAATAATAATAACAATAATAACAACAGTAATAGTAACAGTGACCTTCAGCTTCCGAAACCAGTTAAATATTTTTGATAATATATACAAAAATGTACCTCGGGCAATTAAAATCAAAGTGTGAATAAAGCACCCCCTTAACATGCGACTCCGCACGTATAAAAAAATACGTGTCTCTTATTTTTGTCTATAGAACAACATACTAAAAGCTCATTTGAATCGGTGAGATCCAACACGTTGTGTTCCCTTGTTAGAAGAGGAGTCCTTCTCCTCTCGCACATTACAGGGGGGGCAGGGCTGGGAGGGCACCCGTGGCCGGTCACTCCGCGCCAAGGGTACCTCTGGTAAATATAACCTGAATCTAGTCGATTTAACCCGAATTATGGATCATTCATCTTCCACCAGAATTCCAGTTAATTCAACTAAATATTTATCTCCATGTTGTATTTTTAATCATTTGGTGTCTTTTTTACAGACATCATAATTAAGGTTATAATTAAAATTGTATGAATGAGAAATTTAGATACAAGGGTCGTCTGAACAGTTTTGAGCCTAACATAGTGTTACGTCCAAGCCTCAGGATTTTTATTACGTGGGAAGTTCTGGGTTAAGGAGGAGGCCTCGGAAGAACGTAACTGACACCAGATGTGTCTCTCGATCGTCTCGCCCTGCGGAGGGTTACGAGAGACAGTCGGACGCACTAAAAAGGGTACGGAATTAGGTCAGTGTGCCGTATTATAATACTTGTATACGGCACACTATGACTCTTATCCCGAACCGTACGTCCGTTGGTCCTTTAAATTTAGGCCAAGGAACTCAATCCTTATAGCCAGGGATATGGACCGAGTGCGATCTCGGGGATGACGGTTGGAATGCGGGGAAGGTTGCTTTTAAATCAAATTACAATCATAATCTTTAATGTAAAAGGAACATAGAAATATTATTTATTAAATGAAATAAAATAATTACATATAGGTTATAGATTAATTATATAATTAACATAATTAATTTATTACAATTTCTAAATTAATATATGGTGTACATATACGTGTAAGTGTGTGGTGAATCGGTTAGAGATTGTGAAGAGTTGGTGGGCGAGGTCCCAAGGAGGAAGGACGTATTGCTAGGAGAGTGGCGATCGGAGTGGAAAAGGGGTGGTTGATACCTGGGATGTAAACCACGACTCTAGTCAGGATAGGATTGGGTTACAGTGACAAGGTAACCTTGTATGTCATCCGGGTTTCGGATCAAGCACGGAGAGGATTCAGGAAGAATAGAGGAGGATCTTGGAACTGTAAGGTCTAGTGGTTCTTCATCAGAAGAAGGATATGAAGGAAGTGGAGGATCTTCCTGGAATGAATCTGCGAGGAAAGGAGGAGGAGAAGGAAGAAGATCCAGGAGATCATTTAAAATGGATAAAGGACTTGAAACGGGGGAGTAAGAAACGTCGAGGGGTGGAGGAATTTCCGGCTGAGTCTGATTTTCGGTCCCCCGATCTTGGACAGTAAGAGGGGGTATGTGGGCAGTGCGGCGAGTCGGGTGCTCGGTCCCAGTGGAACAGCGAGGGATTGCCCCGTCTGCGGTGGTATGTTCCATGTCAATGGCGATGGTCCAGCTTTACTGTTACAGTAAGCGTGGGTTGATCGGCTTGACTTTGAGGATGTTTGCTGAGCCTCGCGAGCAGCCGATCCAATAGACAGCTCCGGTAGTGAACTGCGCAACCACCCGACACTGCACCGTTCGGACAAAATCGAGGAACCTCCAAGAGACCGACCGACACACGGACAAACTGATTCGCTCCAAGATGCGTCTCAGACAATCGACTCGGTCTTACGACACGGACAATTGCCCTTGACGACTCGGAAGAAAACTGCGATGAACTGCCGCGAGCACCAAAAAATCGGGGCTTTTATACTGATTCTCCCTGATTTGTCGGGCTCTGATGGGAGGAGAAATTTGTCGGTAAAACAAAGGGCTAAGTTTTCTAGCCCTAGGATTGGTTGGGAGTTAGGACACGTCTTGTGGGCGGGAAGGGAGTTTGACCGATGTCACCGCTATCTTAAGTGTTATGGCCTTATCTGTTTAATGTACGTGAGGGGCCGCATCGAGTAAATGCACGTGCACCCTTTCTCGCGAGGCTCGCTGTATGACAGATTTTAATTTTTACGAGCGCAACTTGTGAGAATCATCCGCAGTTTGGCTGACAATAGAGTGAATGGCTTTACTGTTTTCGGTGACAGTAGAGTGTATATTTATTACTTTTTCTAGCTGAGACTTCGAGGAAAGGATTCGTGTTCTCACAATTTGTGCACGTACGCTCGTAAATGAATTGTCTTAAAATAATTTTTATGGCGAGATAGCGAGTACTTTTGTTTAGATTTTTGGTAAGATGACAGCCAGACTGTCGGTTATTTATTTATGGTCTCGCTATCTCGTCACTTGTAGACCTTTCCGGAAGAAAGAATCGTGAGAATCGTCTGGACATAACAATAGAAACAAGTAATTTTTTGATCAAATTCAATTTTATTTTTCAACATAGTCTCCTTTTAAGTCGATTCATTTTTTCCAGCGATGCTTCCACCTCTTTAATTCATTCAAATAATATTGAACGTCTTGCTTTGCAAAATAGGCGTCTACGGATGCGATGACCTCCTCGTTCGATGAAAATTTATGTCCTTCGAGCCAAACTTTGAGCCTAGGAAACAGAAAAAGGTCGCTGGGGGCCAGATCTGGTGAATACTATGGGTGGTCAATTAATTCGAATCGCAATTCGTGAATATGTATGCGTCAATGCTGAAAATCTATCAGCGTCGCGGGGGGGGACTACATACGCAGTATATAAATTTCACACAATATAATAAACATCAACATCTTGTTTTCAAGACTCGATTAGGCTTTACACTTTCCTCGATTTTTAAATCATACGAGTCAATTATTATTATCTTTCATTATATTTTGTTAACAATTCGAAAACAGCACTGTGGTCACACAGTGCTGTTTTCGATTTATGATTTATTAAATACAAAAAATGAATAAATTTTCAATATTGAAATAAATATCTTTAAGTATTAAATTTCATTATGATAATTGAATAATATAATTATTAAGATATATTTAAAGTAAAGGTAAACAATTATAGCGAATAGTTAAAATTTAGAATTAAGGAAATTCTTAAAATTATATAACATTCTGAAATTATGTTTTTGTATCTTGTGAGGTATGTTACTTCAGATTGGTTTCAATTGTGTTATATATGATAAATGACATAAATAATATTTTTAGAATTGGAACATCTCATCAAGCAATGTGATGTGACATATGTGACAAGAATGTACGTATGTTGAATTGATGATTGAATAATTGTATTAGCTGAGGAAGGTTCAAAATGAACCAAAACGTTCGAATTTTTGAATAAATTGATATCGAGTAAATCTATCAATTTTTATTGTATTTGCGTAACAACAACAACGTCGTACCTACTCTCATTTGCCCTTTGACAACTGAATTCTGAAATTAATTAATTTAAAATAATATATAATTAATAAAATATTTTATTAGTTATTATTATTAATATTATAATTAATAAGATACCTTATTATGGAGTAAATTTCCATGTTTGCATTTACTTATTTTTAATCATGCAATATCTTAACCCTTTGAGTCACGCATTTTTCTATTCACGCAATTCAGTTGAAAATCGTTACTCGGGGGTTTTCGGGGTCGCTGATTACGAATCTGTCGTTACTTTTACCAAATTCAAAATGGCAGATCCAATATGGCGGACAAAAATTTTAGAAATGCCTCCTTTTTGAACAAAATTTGCTACTCGGGGGTTTTCGGGGTCGCTGATGACGAATCCGATCTCAGATTTTCAAAATTCAAAACTGCGGATTTAAAATTGCGGCGATTCATGTAAAACTGCGATAATAATAGTAAAATTGTGTAATCGAAATTTTTTTGGATCAATGATGCGAAACATTATTTAAAAATTTACTCTTTCTCATTACCCAGAGCTAACGACGTGGACGTGAAGAGTTCTAGCTCCATTTTTTTATCTTTTTTTATTTTTTTTTGTTTTGTTTATTTTCTATATTTTTTGTGTTTTTCTTCCTTCTTTATATATATTTTATTTATTTTAAAATTTTGTTTTTCTGAAATTGACGGGAAATCATTGTAATTGAAGTCTTGTTATTTTTTTGTTTCAATTATAAGTTAGGTATGGTACTTTGAAAGCAATTCCTGTTAGGCAAAAGGCATAATGGTACATTGCAGGTCGTACATATCCATTTTGTTGTTTTCTGCTCAGTTCTCGTACTGCAATGAGCACATCTTTTTGAGTTTTCCGTGAATACAGGCATATGAGCTACCTGAGAGTATCTTTTTTCTACAGATACTTGAGGTTTAGCGTGTTCTGAATTATCTGAGGTATGAGATTGACGCTTTCTACCTTTACGATGAGGAATTTTGTGTCCAACTAGGTTGTCTACCAGTAATAATCGAAATTTCTTCAAAGTCAACATCGGTTTTATATCTCTCGTTTTGTACAAAATAAATGAATTTGTGACCGTAAGATCGAGAAAGTTCCAAAACAGTCTGAACCACCATTTTTTGGATTTGCGATCAATTTTGTAACATGCGAGTAGTCGATCAGCGTAGTCGACGTAGCCCATATGCTTATTGTAATCTGAATAAATCACTGTTGAGACTTTTTAATTACTGTTAAAGGACTGTTGACGGCTTTTAGAGACCCATCTTTTTGTCGACGATTTACCACAGTTACCTTAGATGGATCATGATAGTTTGATAAGAATTGAACCGGTTTCTTATCCATCCATTTCACCCAGCTGAGACCTGTACTTGTAGTTTTGAATTCATACTCTCCGACGTTCATTTTTTTCTCCGACTTTTCACTTTTGGGTAATCCAGAACGATTGGGTCGTATTGTACCGCATGCAAAAATGTTATCTTCTTTCAAAGACAACATAAGTTCGACTCCAGTAAAAAAATTATCAAAAAACACCTGGTGATTGCCGTCAATTAGTTCACGTACGAGATCTTTCACGACACGGCTTCCCAATTGTTTCTCAGTACTTTCCGTTTTTCCAATATATATTTGAAATTCGCAAATATATCCAGATTCATCGGCTCGGGTCCAGCATTTATAGCCACGTTTGATTGGTTTTGCCGGCATATATTGCTTCATACTACTTCTTCCTTTGAACTTAATCATTGACTCGTCAATTGACTGATATTTTCCTGGCTTCCAGCAATGTTTAAAAGTTTGTGAAAGCTCATCTAAAAGTGGTCTCAACTTGTATAGCTTATCATAGTTAGGATCACCTTTTTTTGGTACTTTTGAATTATCGTTTATGTGCAAATGAGACAAAAAAAAACTAAAACGATTTACAGTCATCAGAGGAGATATGTAAGAATTATGAAGCTGAGGATTATTAGACCAAAAATCTTTATATGATGGTGATTTTTGTATACCCATTAGAATATTGATTCCGATAAAGATTTTCAGTTAATCTATTGTGATAGGATCTTTTTTATTGCCTTTTTGTGTGATATACAAATTAGTTTGTTGTACAATATGATCCAATAGATGCGAGGGGAATAAACAAGAAAATATCTCTAAAGGAGATGTTGCCGTTTCAGGAATGTTTAGGCCAAAATTTTTGGAAAATGGAATATCCGTTCTTGGTTTACTAACAGTTTCCCACATCTGATTCTTACACGAGTTTTATTGGACTGATTCAGTAATGTCATTTTCTCTTGACTCCTCATCGTCAGAAATATTATCTAAAATAGGAAGTGAATTTTCTGTAACTAATCTGGAATTCAGAACTTCTTCTTCATCATCATCAGAATTGCCAAGTCCATCTATAGATTCTGAATCGCTAGGAATATCGGTTACTTCTACTGGTTTCATCTTTCTCATATTTGTGATCACCGAAATAGAAATTCCAAAAAATGTGCAAGCTCTTGAATTTATAAAAACTAGGAAAGATTAAAAAACTACTTTTGCATGAAAAATAAAAATCAAAGTTTCATCGACATCGACCGACATGCTCGCACAGCGTTATCGAGATCGCTAGTATACCAAATAGAATTGCATCTTTATTACTTTCCAAGTTGAAATTTTTACTATGAGGGTAAGAAAATAACGATGTAATGATTTTATAAATTCACATTGTAATTTTTACTATTTTTGTACCGTTATTCCATTTTCCTACAGAAAAGTAGTAATTTTTACTACATTCGGATTTTCAGTGTACAAGTATCGAAATAACAATACAGTCCTGTTATTACTTTCAATATTTTTTAGAATAACGTTATCGTGAAACAAAGCTCAAAATTGCCAATAAAGAATAATATTATACATAGGTACTACAAAGCACGCTAATATCCGAATGCACATACAAAAAGTCACGCAACAACCATCTGTGCTGCTGCAGCACTTAGAGCGGTGACGTGCCTCGTAATTTGTTGCGTTGGGATCGCATAGAGCTAGATTTTTTGAATGCCACGTTCCTATATAGATTATAAGCACAGCAAAGTTCTATAAAGGTGGGCTATTTACATGCTGTTTCTGATCGAACAGCAATAGCTCAAGAGCTAGGAATATACTATACTATATATACCTTATGAATACGGTTGTTTTGCATGTATGAATTTACACCGCTATTATCGCCGTTTTGTATTTGATTCGCCGCCATTTCGAATACGCCATTTTGAATCCGCCATTTTGAATCCGCCATTTTGAATTTCGTAAATCTAATATCGGATTCATAATCAGCGACCTGGAAAGCACCCGGATATGTACTTTCACCAAAATTGTTACTTTTTCACATCTTTATGACCGCCATATTGAATCCGCCATATTGAATTTCCTAAATCTAGCACCGGATTCGTAATCGGCGACCCCAAAAACAATGCCATATCAAATTTCGAGTAATTAGCGTTAAAACATCGTTAATAATGAATTTTTCCGAAAAAAAACGTGATTTTTTCATATTTGTTTATTTATATAGCCTAAACAATTAACAATTATGTCTTCTTTGTAATTTTTATATGTTTCTTCATCACAATAGTAACAGAAAAAAGCAAAAAGACTGATCTGAATGCGTTAACAAGAATGTAAATAGTCAAAATTCAAAGAAATCCATGTGGTAACGTGGGTTACCACTATGACTCAAAGGGTTAAATAACTCTTTGAATTTTGTAAACATATTTTCGTAATCCAATAAATACTGAGGTAAATTTATTAATAAGAATTAATAATGCAAAATTAATTATGTATTCTTAAGTTATAATCTCCCTTCCAATATACGCACTCTTTTAAGTAAAATTATCTATATTGCGAGACTGTTTTAGGTAATCGGTACACAATAATGCTAATACCACAAAGAAGTATACTTTTGAAAATTAAAAATTATATTATATTAATGTCTTACTTTAATTAGGGCAAATTATACATCCATTAAACTTATAAAATAAATAAATATTTAAAAAATACATTAATAATCTTCTTTTGATCTTCTTTCGTATTTTAGAATTACGTTGCAATATTAATTTCCCGTCATTATAAACACAAAGAAAGAACAATTTTGTTGAAAATGTCAACACCAATTAGCATTTTTATAATAAGAATTAAGATAAACTATATTCAGCCAAATTAACACTGATATTTTAGTGACACTCATTTCACTATTTAGATTACATGTTATTTTGATATTATATTGTATTGTATTGTATTGTATTGTTTATTGCATATAAAATTTTACAATTATACACAAATGGCGAGGCGCCAGCAAATCTGCTGCTATAAAGCCTCCCAGTATAATAAAAGAAACAAAACAATTATTAGTAGCGCAAAAAGTAAAATTTAACATTATGATATTACAAAATTTTAAACAGTAATGCACGCAATATTGGCGGAGAGGAACATATTAGAATTCGAAACACAAATAAAATGAACAAAGACGAAAACACAGAGAGAACGTGTATGAACTGTGACGTGACACTTTGTGTCCGTCACTCGTAAGTGCATTGGCACGGAGATCCTGTGTCCTCTAAACTCGAAGGGCGAGGGCACAAGCGAGCGTGCCAAATTTATATCTTTTTTTTGTTTCGTTTTGTATATTCTTTTATATAAAATATTTAGTAATTTCAGATCTTTAAAGAACAATTATTAGTCACATTAGAGCGTGAGCGGTGGTTGTCTTAGATTCGTGTAATGTTGCCGCCTCACTCACGGAAGGAAGAAAGAAGACGTCGTGGAGGAAGCAAGAAACCACCAAAGAAGATTCCGATTGTGTCCTCAAGGAGCGCGGTACACGCAGGTCGTATTGTTTTGTAACCTCTGATAATTTGGATATTATTTGGTGATTGTCGCACCTTTATTGCAGACGACTCGGAGAGAGACGTGATAAGGGACCGTCTCAGCACGGCCCGAACATCGGCAGCCGCCTCCACTTCTGAGGAGAGCGATAGAAGACCGCTGATCAAGACGGAAGGCCTCGGCCAGCTAATTTGGAAAAGCGCGCCAGAGACTCAAAGGATACGCGACCCGCAGGACTCGCTGTGATTAGTCGCGGGGTTGCGCGACAGCAACAAGCCAATTAGAATAAAGAGCGGCCCGATAGGAGAGGGGCCTAGCGGCCTGCGTGGATCCGCGAATGCTCCCGATTATCACTTGCGCGGTGATCGAGTTCATGTAAAGAGGACACGGGATCTCCGGAGCTTTTGGGAACTGAGAATGCTGTCTACCGTTACCGAGAAAGTTAGAGGCGGAGGTTTTCCTCTGAAGGATCAACGAGGGATCGTTACGTGGTGAGGCGAGCGTTATCTTATAATTTGTGTAAAACCACCGATCACGGTATGTGAAATGCGTCTCGAGTGGATCGCGCGTTACTCGGTATTTCGTGTTAGAGTTCCCGATGTCGTATTCACCGCCTCAAGGCGTTTTAAAGTAATCGTTGCCGTAGGCGCGTGCCATTCGCTCGGACGCTGAGATTATTGAGAAGTATAATTATTGTTGTTGCTCGCCCTCGTTGCCGCCAAGTCACTTGTATAATTGTTAATTGTTGAGAATTCTTTAAAGCCGAGACTGGCGTTATTGCGCATTAGAGAACCGTTGCCGTCTAATGTAAAATCGTATGTTCTAATTATTCACGAAGTAATTATTGTTAACATAATAAGATCTAGATTTGGTCGCATATTTCTGCTCGGCGAATTATTGCCGAATTTACTTCGTTGTCGACGGCCAGTTAATAGTCGGTTTATTGTTATTGCGCCGCATATCAGAGCGCGGAAGGTCAACGCTGTAACGTACTTTCTTCCGAACACTTTTGTACAGTCTCTATTAAATATATCGATTTCTCTTTATTGTTATTATTAATTCTGGTGCATTTATTTCAGCCTCTCCATCGTTCTCCGACAATTTCCCCGCTAACCGCGAACCACTCCCCTCTGCCAATTCCGTTGGCTGAGCTAGTTGTTTAGTTCCGTCGCGAGAATCCGCGTAATCTTTAATTTCTTGTCCGAGCAATTTATCTAACGATTTGTGCGAAGAGTGGCACGCTCTCTCGTGCCTGGCGCCCAACGAATTTTTGATAGCGATTAAGATCTTTGCTGAGTAAAGTAACTTGTCAACTACTGTAAATTCTCGAATCACGAAAGAATTAATGAAGAACCGCACTATTGCTCCTTTAAGTATTTTGTATTCTAACGAAGAGCTTTCGCATAATTAGATTTCTTTTGGAGGACGCGACGAAGTTGTGCCGACACTCAAAAGTACGGTTACAATATATATATATATATACATGCACTCACGATATGACTGACGGAGAGAAACAAGGATACGTCCTTCCTCGACCACTGCCGGCTCGAGATATGTCATACATGTGCAAGTATTGTCGAACATATAGGAAATATCAAGGTTCAATCAATGTATTGATATGATTTGCATGAATTAGAAATTAGAAAAAGAAAATAGAGTCTAAGTAATTTATTATTAATATTAATATTTATTATTAATATTAATTAATAATAAATTAATTAAATTAATAATAAATTAATTAGAAACTACATTTCTAATAATTTTCTTTTATTCAAGATTTCTAATTTTATGAAAAAATACCGTAAAAGTACAGAAATACAAGAATACATGCAAGAATACGGGAATACATGCAAGAAAATACATGCGCCTCTCTTCAAATTGGAGAATAAATTCACGCTTCCGAATATGGCCTCTTCTTGCAAAGCGGCATATAGCAAAAAAATTGTAATTAAAATATCTGTGAAGGTGAATATTAAGATTATACGTAAATTTAATTACTTCTTGGAAATAAAACACATACATTTTGAAAGATATATTAAAGTTATCAAAAGAATCATTTGTAACAAGTTAATGGTATACGAAAATTTTTGAGAAATTTACAGCCGCTAAATGTGTACTTTCACGTAATAAAGGCACGAGTACTTCCTTTCCTTCCTTTCCTTTCCTTTCTCAGTAACTTCAATACAATCTCTCTGTGTCACGCGTGTCAATGTCAAAATCTCCGCGATGATGTTAGAATTACGTTGTAATATTAATTTCCCGTCATTTTATAAACACAAACAAAGAATAATTTTGTTGAAAATGTCAACACCAATTAGTATTTTTATAATAAAAATTAAGACAAACTATATTCAGCCAAATTGACGCTGATATTTTAGTAACACTTATTTCACTATTTAGATTACGATATTATATGTCATACATGTGCAAGTAAAGTCAAATAGGAAATATCAATGTATTGATATCAATTAGGAATTAGAAATTAGAAAAAGGAAATAGCGTCTAATTATAATATTATCGTGTACACACATTGTAAAAGACTTTTTTTTATTTTTAAATCGATTCATGTTTAAAATTTCTTGCTTGTTTGGCTATTACGTATACAATGAATTTAGATAACCAAAAGAATCATTGCCTTGTATATTATAGGAATACTACAACCATTATATTATAGTTTTTAAAACATCAAAATGTTTTGCAGCATTGATTATTATCATTTTTTAGTTTCTACAATTCTTTTAATGGTCCAATAAAATTATTTTCAGATCTATCAAAATTTTAAATCTTTCAGTGTACAGTCATTCTTTTCGTATAATAGGTATATTAAAATTTGTTGTCCATGATATTGCATTTCTAATAATTTTCGATTATTTGTTCAAGATTTTTAATTTTACGAGAAAATACCGTAAAAGTACGAAAGTTTTGGTAAATACGCGAAGCAAAGTAAAAAGTATTGAAGTTCATTTCAACGATGACATTGCGATTTTAATTCGACCGTTTATCGCGTCTGCCGAAATATATGTTCCATCAGTGACGATATTATCATATTTTTCTATGTCGAGACGCGGGTTATCGATACATGGGCTGTTTCGGAAATGGCGCACTTTCTCTGAGCCTCAGATATTGAAAGCTGTTAGAGTCACAGATCTTAATTGAAAACTCAGCTTTATATCCCTAGTTTTTTTTTTGTCTCTCATTGGTTGCCCTCACTGCTACACGCGTTACACCTCGAGCACTTATTATTATTCTCTCTGCGAGTTCCTCCTCCGCGTGTGATTCTGTTCGCTCGTTTTTTTCACTCTGTATATTATATAAAATAAAGCACTCTACCATCAGGTTATGGGCCCAGAGTGTCGCCAAGTGAAGTAGTTCGATAGAAGCGGACGATACACGTGCTTCGTGCAAGAAGTGACAAAAATTCGGTTCGGAAAGACTACGTGATAAAGAAACCTAACCGTCGTAAGGCATAGAACGAGATCGCCTCAAAAATGGCAAGTTCGTCATCCACGAATTTACCCGTGATAGAAAAATTGAAAGGTCGGGATAATTATAGTACGTGGAGGTTTGCAATGCAAACATACCTCGAACACGAGGATCTCTGGGAATGTGTAACTGGAGATAACGATAACGAAAAAAAGAACAAACGTGCTCGCGCTAAGATAATCCTGTGTACCGTAAATTACGTACACGTGCAAGATACTACCACGGCAAAGGAGACATGGGACAAATTGAAAAGTGCGTTCGAGGATTCCGGTCTAATGCGACGCGTCGGGTTATTGAAATTGCTAACGACAACGAAACTCGGGAACTGTGCAACGGTGGATGAATACGTGAATACAATAATCACTACAGCGCACAAATTAAACGGCATCGGCTTCAAGGTTAACGAAGAATGGATAGGTTCATTATTATTGGCTGGTTTGCCCGAAGAATACAAACCGATGATCAAGGGGCTTGAAAGCTCAGGAACACCTATCACTGGAGATACTATCAAGACGAAGTTACTACAAGATATAAAAGTTGAGAAAACAGGTAAAGTGGCAGACTCGGAGACGGCATTACATATAAAGACTCAGAAGAATAGATACAAAGGCAAGTATCGTGGTCCACGTTGTTTTTCTTGTAATGAATATGGCCACATATCCTCAGCGTGTACGAAAAATAAAGTAAAAGATGAAAATAAAAATGCAAAGTTCGAAAAAAAAAAACAAGGAAACTAAAACTTTATCTGTATTTTCTACGGGAAGCGTCAATCAGAAGAGTTGGTATCTGGATTCCGGTACTACAGCGCAGGTCACCATGAACGATGAGTGGATAAACAAGAAGTCTAGCTCATCTGGTGAACAAGTAATCACTGCCAACAAGGACACGCTATCAGCAATCAGCATTAAGTACAGGAGATGTCGATCTGAAAGTCATCGATGAAAATGAAGCCGTTAGTACAATCAAGGTTAAGGATGTTTTACATGTACCTGGAATTTCTGCCAATTTATTATCCGTGAGTAAAATTGCCCAAAAAGGATACAGCTTAATTTTTAATAGTCAAGGATGTCAGACAGTTAATGGCAAGATAAAAATTAATGGAGAAATTGTAACAGAAGCAATCGAAGAAAATAATATGTACCGTCTGTGTCAACCCGTACAAAAAATCCATTACGTCGGATCCGAAGATAAAGCGAAAATTTGGCACAAAAGATTAGGTCATATGAATCGTAAAAATATGAGCATGTTAACTCATGGTTACGTTACAGGAATAGATTACGAACGTCCGAGTAGCAACGTGTGTATATCTTGTGTGAAAGGAAAACAACACAAGCAGCCTTTTCAACCAAGTACAAGTCGATCCAAGGAATTGCTACAAGTGGTACATTCGGATTTATGCGGTCCTATGGAGACTATCTCATTTAGAGGCTCTCGATATTTCCTCACCTTTGTTGATGATTGTTCTAGAAAAGTCTTTGTTTATTTTTTGGAAACGAAGGATCAAGTACCTGGTACACTTGAAGAATTTAAGGTCCTTGCAGAAAAACAGAGTGATCGTCAGCTCAAGACTTTGAGGTCAGACAACGGTCGCGAATATATAAATCAAAGACTCTTGAAGTTCCTCAAGAACAATGGAATTAAGCATCAAACAACTGTTCCATACACGCCACAGCAAAATGGTCTAGCGGAGAGGATAAATCGAACCATAGTTGAAAAAGCACGTTGTTTACTGCAAGATGCCAGCCTAAGTAATGAGTTTTGGGCAGAGGCAGTAGCCACAGTTGTATACTTAATCAATCACTCACCAGCTAAAGGATTAAATGGTATAACACCAGAAGAGGCTTGGTCAAATCGGAAACCCGATTTACAGCATTTAAGGATCTTTGGTTGCAAAGCAATGGCGCACATCCCAAAACAATTGAGAAAAAAATGGGATGCAAAATCGAGTGAATATATATTCGTCGGATATTATGAGGACTCGAAGGCATATCGTCTCTGGGATCCAGAACACAGAAGTATTGTGAAAGCTCGCGACGTAATATTTTTAGAAAATACTAAAACTACGGTAAGCCCAGATCCAACTAAAAAAGAAGATTCATCACAAAAGGAACTTGTTCCATTAATCGACCTAGAAGATAACGCGCACATCGAACAAGAAGATCCTGCAAATGAAGAAGAGGACACTGAAGAAAATCAGGAAATAGTGAGGGTATCTTCGGAAGAATCCGAGTCAGATGATTCGGACTATGTAGACTCCTTGGAATCACTTCAAGAACAAACCTTAAGAAGATCCAACCGTGTCCCGAAACCCAAAAATTTCAGTGATTTCATAGTGTACAAAGCTGTTGTCATTTCAGATGACCCGGAAACAGTAAAAGAAGCGACAAAACGTCCAGATAGAAAACTTTGGATAGAAGCAATGCAAAGGGAATATGATTCGCTACTTGAAAACAAGACTTGGGATCTAGTGGATCTGCCACCTAGTAAAACTGCACTTACATCAAAATGGATCTTTAAAATAAAAAGAAATGCCAATGGTGAAATAGAAAGACACAAAGCTCGCCTAGTCATCCGAGGATGTTCGCAGAAAAGGGGCATCGATTACGAAGAAACGTATTCTCCAGTTGTTCGTTATGGAACTATCAGAGTATTATTTGCACTGGCCGCCAAGTATGATTTAGATGTGGATCATATTGATGCAGTTACTGCATTCCTTCATGGAGACCTCACCGAAGAAATTTATATGCGTCAACCAGAGGGATTCGTGATGAAAGGAAAAGAAGCGAAAGTATGTCGCTTGCATAAAGCCATGTACGGATTAAAGCAGGGCAGTAGAGCTTGGAATCAGCGGCTAAATACTATAATACAGCAAATCGGATTTACTCAATCTAAAACCGACCAATATGTGTATATTTATACGAAAGAAGATAAGAAAATAATTATCGCAGTCTATGTCGATGATCTTTTAATTTTTTCAAACGATAAAAAATTAAAAGAAATCACGAAGTCCAAACTAATGAAGCAGTTCAAAATGAAAGACTTAGGTGAAGTCAGACACTGTTTGGGACTTAGGATTACTCGTGACAGAGATGCAGGAAAAATCTGGATTGATCAGTCGGCGTACATTGAAAACATCGTCAATTGATTTAACATGAAGGATTGCAACAAAGCATCGACTCCGTTAGATATAAATCAGAAACTGTCTAAAGAAATGTCACCTACAACGGAAGAAGAAAAAGCAGAGATGACCAAGGGTCATCCGAATCGCGCATGAAGCGCGTAGACTGCATAGAAAGTCGTTCCGAGTTAACTATTGCGCGCTTCGAAAGCGCTTCGAGAGTACTTGTATTCCCCAGATTGTACTAACCGTACTGAATTCTTAGCACTCCACTCAGCGCATTGACTGCTTCTCTTTCGACCTGAGGCAGTTGATGCGTCTGATGCGTTCATGCGGTCTATGCGCATGATTTGTAATTCGGAACGAGCAACGAGTACCGGACAATACAACAATGAACGGACGAATATTTGCGATTTGCGATGGAACAGCGATTACAGCAATTGCATGATTTCCCGGTCTTATTAGAGGATAAAAATAAAGTATTAATTTTATTTTTAAATGAAGAGGATATGGCGAAAGTAAGCCAAGATAAAATTAATGGCATTATTCAACAAAAATTAAAAGGGCGAAGTAAGAGTCAGAAGTAAATTACATTAAAAATAATATTAAAATGTTAACATATTTACAATAGAAATATTACAAAAATTGCTTAACAATTGTTACGCGCAGCATGTTTTTAATTTTAACAATTGTTACGCGCAGCATGTTTTTAATTTTAAGTAACGGGCATAATGTTTTTAATTTTAAGCAATTTTTTGTAATATTTCTATTGTAAATATGTTAACATTTTTAAATTATTTTAAATGTAATTTACTTCTGACTTTTACTTCGCCCTTTTAATTTATGTTGAATACTTTCATCAAAATTAATGGCATATTATTTTACCTTGATTTATTTAATGTATAGATTAGACGTTATATTAATTAGAAATTACGCGATCGACGTAATCAATAATTTTTTCAACTCCAATTTGTTTCCCACGTGATTTATCTAGGTACTATTAATAAAAAAAATATTTTCTGCGTATCACTTAGAGATATGCCTTCGACTTCATTTTCACTATCGCTCGAGTCGGAATTGTCATCGGAACTTTCATCATTTTTCTTTAAAAGTATTAAAGAAGAAATTACAATTATTAGAAATTGTTTATTGACGCCGTCTTGTATAGCGTCCATCTTGAACTCGCATAGCTCGCACAGGAAACCGGTCCGAATTCATAAGCGCTTCATGCGTGTTATGCGCGCATTGAAAAAACGGAACAATTTCAAAATGTTGTGCATCAGTATTGCAGTCCACGCGCTTCATGCGCGACTCGGAACGCACCCCAAGTTACCATATCAGGAACTGGTCGGCAGTTTGATCTTCGCATGTCAAGGAACACGTCCGGATATTGCTCACGCTGTTGGAGTAATAAGCAGATTTAACAACAACCCAGGAAGAGTACATTGGTCAGCAGCCAAAAGAATATTGAGGTACTTGAAAGGCACGTCAAATCTCAAACTGGAATTTTCAAAGGATGGCGACTACCAACCACTGTTGCCAACTATTGGAAAGAGTTACCCGCTAAATTCTATTCGAAATACCGCCAAAAAATCGTCAGATATTTATATAAGTTTGTAATCACTTTTACGCACGTATTTATATATAAGATGCTAAAAAAGAGTGGTACATATATATGTATATAGAAGGAGAGAGAGAGACTCATGTTATATATGCCCTAAAGCACTTTCATGATTGGTCGATTCCGATTAAAGATCAAGCTAAGGCCGATATTTCATGTGTCGTACAACAAGGCTTTTCAAGCCTATTTATTGGTTGTAAAACAGAGAGATTCTCAGATCTCTCTGTCCTATAGCCAATCAATGTGCTTGAAAAGTTTGTCGACACATGAAATATCGGGCTAACAGTATAAAGTCGTCAGAATAAATTAAAACGACTGAATAACTGAGACGTAAATGTTTAATTCACTTTTCGAATATGTGTATATGTAACATATATAATTACTTATAACTAGGAATATACATATATATATTGTGACCGTACTTTTGGGGAAACGGCACAACTTCGTCACTTCATCCGCTGCTCTTTTTACGCGATAGCTCAAAAGATGGACACAATAATGTAATTAGCAAAAGTGCGGTTCTTCCTGAAATTTTATATGCTACGATATTCGAGCCGTACTAATTTTCGTTGGGCGCCAGGCACGAGAGAGCGTGCCACTCTTCGCACTAAATATTAAGATGTTACGCTCGGACAAAGAAATTACAGAGCAACGGAATTCGCGACGGACAGGCTCAGCTAGCTCAGCCAACAAAATTGGTAGAGGGGGTGGTTCGCGATGTGCGGGGAACAATGTCGGAGAACGAGGTAGAGGCAGACAGAAATAATTATACAGCAATTAATATTAACAATAACAAAGAGTTTCCTATTTATTTAATACGCGTCGATACATGAGTTGCCATAATCTACAGAATTCCGCGGTCGCGCGTCGACGACGAGTTTACTTTATTACAGAAGAGACGATCTCAGGGTCGTCGTCGACGGTACTTAGAAAGGTCCGACTCTCGAAACTTCCCGCAACCGACAGCCCAATGCTGAGCGGTGACACGCGGCTCGACTCTAATTCTTAAACAAACCGGAATCTCAACACGTAATACGAACGATATGACTTGGCAGTGACACGGGCGAGCAATAACGATAACTCTGAGCATGTAAATTCCTTACTTCGAGCGAACGGCCTGTGGGTATCGATAATAACAATGGCGTTAGTCTTTGCCGGTACAACTTCGGCCGAATCAAACCCGCGAGACTCACACACGCGACTCGCTCGAGACGCTCACAAAATAATACGCGATCGGTGGCTTTACAATACGATGAATAACGCTCGCCTCACCAAGATTTTCCTCCTCAGCAGCTTCCGAGATTCGCGCGAGAGCCGACAGCAGTGCTCGCCACCAGGAATGTTCTCGATGCGTCAATTAAGCTCGGCGAGATCCTGCGTCCTTCGTCAGGGCCAGTCACTGCTCAAGTGCCGATCGGAAGTACTCGCGGATTCACGCAGGTCGTCCGGCCCTCTCTTACCGGCCTCTGCTCTTTCTAATTGGTTCGCCGCGACCGCGTGACCCCGCGACGAATCCCGCGGGTCCTTGCGTGTCGCGGACCTTTTGGCGCTGTGGCGCGCTTTTCCAAAAAGGCGGAAAATGCTTTCTGGTCGCTCGAGGATCTTCCCGTGATCTCTATGGGTTACGGCGCCTCGGCGGAGGTCCTGCCTGTCGATCCGTTCCCGGCTGACGTCTCTCTCCGAGGCGTCTGCAATAATCGTGCGATAATTCACAGAAGAACGGCGGCATTACAGTAACAAATATGAAATAATACGACCTGCGTGTACCGCTCTTTCCGTGATTCCAGTCAAATTCCTCTGACCGTAATGTCTCCCTCGTAGCAGGCGACGTCTTCTTTCTTCTCGTGATGGGTGAGGCGGTCAAACACAGAGAGACTAAATAGCCACCGGCTTTGATCGTAATTAATAATGAAATCCGGGCTCAGGATCGTCTTAACGTTAGCTAAAACTTAACTAAATAGCGACAAGAAAAAGAAAAAAAAGAAAATAATACGATAATCGCAAAAAGAGAATAACAAAATAAGTAACACAATAATCGCCAAAAGACATAAAAATAATTAATAATGTCGCACATTCGCCTGTGCGCTCGCCCGTTGACCCTGAAGGACCCAGGATCTCGCGTTATGCTGTTTTTCTGGGTGACTGACAAAATGTCACGTCACAATATGTTAAACTTAATATTGAGTTTTTGCATATTCTATTTACCCATTTCATCTGTTGTAAAATTTTTCTCAAATAGATATAAGAACAAAATATAAAAGTTTTTAAAAAGTTATTTTATAAACTAAAAATAAATGTAAAACTTGTAAGAGGTCGCAGCAAATTTCTCTATTCAATATTGATCGTGATCCATTCGTCTTCATATGATCAATGACGTTCTCATTTTTGTCATCCTTGTCACCAACATATGCTATATTGGTCCCAATTAACTTTATGTACGAATTTGGTACCTCATAATCATGGCAACATTTATTATACCTTTTTAGACCATATCTAAAAACAATTGCTATTTAACATTTTCTATTTAAAAATTAAATTGCATCCATCTATTATCTTATATGTAAAATTGCATTAACCATTGCATTTTGTAATCGATTTCTAATCTTTGATTTAATAGATTTAACTGACTGAATGTTCGTTCAACATCAGCGTTTGACCATGGTAAAGAAAGGAGGGTTAATGCAAATTTAGCCAGATCTCCAAACGGATTATTATCTCCTGCATCTCTGTAGGCATGTACTTCCGCCCAAAATAGAGAAGTATTTGTCACGTTCATCCATTTGATGTAATTTATATTTTGGTATTGCTGAACTATTTTTTCCCGTATATTATGATCCTTCTCAAAAATTAAAACGGACGATATATCCCCTTTTACAGCTTTTAACACATTATTGACAGAAAATAAATCAATTTTCTTTAAAGTTTTGTAATTCTCAGGTAATCTAAAAATAATAATTATAAATTCACATACTATTGATCTTATCCTTGACATATCTAATGCTAATATATCATTTTCGAAAAAAATATATTTATAAACTTATTTTCAGAATAGAGCCATTACCTTTGTTTCAGTTGTTTGATGAGAATAATGATAAAATCAGTACATCTCATCCGGATATTTTTCTCGACTTTTTCATCTAATGTTTTATTTTTTTTACACTTTATTATTTCATTTTCAAATCTATAGCCTAAGTAGCACGTTCTGTCTATATAATTATCAAAATCTGTCGTTACGATGTCAAAAGTATATGTTGAATTTATAACTTTGTTTTTTAAAGAATGTATAACCATTACTAAATTATTCAATAATTTTGTTGGATCATTAATATTGCTCTGAAAGCTCTTATTTAATATTTGTAGTTCTGAAAGAACGGGTTTAAGAAACAGCAAGTATAAGTAATTAATA